AACAGAGCGAGGAGTGTTTCACTGGACTCTGAAGAGAAGCATCTACGATGGCCTGGCCAAGGGGAGCAACTTGAGGCATGGAGGCTGGGAACACGATATCCATGCTGACACAGCCAGAGCGGAGGCTGTATGTTGGGTGCAAGAAAGAGGGGTTGGCAGGGGCCAGGTCACGGGTGCTGTGCCATGGAGTCTGGCTGTATCACAGCTAAGCCTGTATCCAAACCTCCTGGATGGCTCATTACAACAGACTGCTGGGCCTGCCCCCAGAGTTTCTCATTCTCAAGGCTGAAGGTGGGGCCCCAGATGCATTTCTGACACGTTTCCAGGTGCTACCCTTACACTTACTTCTACTCATCGTCTGGCCGTGGAGGGCTGTTGACTGAGGCACTGCATGGAAATCATGCAGCCCAGGGCCTGGCAGGTGGAGGGGCTCAGTAAACCACAATTTTTATCACTCTCATGGGCCATGTTGTAGGGGAGGAGGGGGAAGCTGACTGATGGAGGATTCCAAGCAGGAGGGGGATGTGGTCAGGCTTATTTCTTAGGAAGACCCAGAAGCAGTCAGAGCTGGGTGTGAGTTCAGCTCTACCACTTAGCCAGCTGTGTGAGCTTGAGCAAGCAACTCAGTCTCCCTGTGCCTCAGTTTCCCAATCCCCCAAATGGGGATAATAACAGAACTGATCTAATAGGGTCATTATGAGAACCAAATGAAGGAATTTAAAGAAGTCTGGCAAACTGAAGAGCTTAATACGCGATGGTTATGATGAGGATGTTGGAAGCAGGAGGCGCACGAGGAGGGAGGGAGGCAGGAAGGCGGTGGGGAGAGGAGGCAGCAGTGATAACACTGATCACGAGGCACAGTAACCAAGAGGTCACAGATGACAGTGATGAGAAGAGCAGGGGGCGGGGGCGGCATGAACCCCAACCCCTGAGCACTTTTTATCTGAGGGTGGAGGGGCAGCAGTTAGGATGCGGCCGAGGGGGTGAGCACAGAGGCCTCCTGGCCCTCACAGGGGAGAAGCTGGGGGGGGGGTGGAGGGATCACGGATGCTGACTCGGCAGAAGCTTCGTCAGCAGAGGCCATGGTGTGTGCCAGCCTCAGCGCCATTTCCAGGTACCCTGCACTGAGTCTCCCCTAAGGTGAGGCAATGACCATACTGAGCTCCTAAGGCTCTGCATCCCTCCCCGGCCTGGAACAGAGTATAGGTTTAGGCGCAGATGGACACTCAGTCCCCATCTCGGGCCTGGTCCAGTAAGGCCTCATATACAGGGACCTGGTGGCCCTGTTTGCTCTGGGGATTTCCCGGACCGTTAGCCCACCCCTGCTGTCTCTCCCAGGAGGCCCCGAGTCTCCTTCCTCTAGGCCTGGCCTCTGACCCCTGCTTTAAGTCACCTCCTAGGTCAGACCCTACAGCCTAGACAGACAATCCTTATTCCCTAGTGCCACCAGGCTGTTCTAACAGCACTAATAAAAGTAATAATAATAATAATGAAATAATAAATAGCATTAATCATTGCCAGACAGCATTTACTAAGTGTCAAGCACCATGCCAGGTGCTTCTATATTTCACCTGGTTTAATTTTTAAAACAATCCCGAATGATGGGTAGTATTACTCCTCTTTAATGGATGAGACTAAATCTAAGGGGCCTGGGTAACTTGCCTACGGTAACGCAGCTCACAAGTGACAAAAGTCTAAATTTAAACCCAAGTCTATCTGACTCTAAGGCCTGATCTGTGTTCCCCTCTTAAACTATGTTGCCTTTCCAAATTCTGGGGCCCGGTCCACTCGTGCATTAGGCCCCTCCCTCCTTCCCCAAGGCCTGAGCTACCGCTGGGAGGTCAGGCCTGTGTTGAGGCTGTCCAGGGGCCAACTCCAGCCCCTGTCCTCTCCTGTCCCCCTGCCGGGCTGGAACCACACCCATACCCGCCCAGGCCAGGTCTCGGGGCCTCACTGAACTAACACCCAGTCCGAGGCCCGGCAGCAACGAGGCCAGCCTCCTAGGAGTGCGGACGAGAGAGGAGGGGGACTAGAAGGGCAGTTCCTTTCTGGGTTACCAGGCATCCTGGGCATGGGGAGGGGAGGCTGGCGGAGGCAGGAGGAACTCCTCCAAGCTTGCCGCCTAGCTCAGGGCTCCTGAGGGCTGGGAGACAACAAGCCTTTAGGTAACTTGTTTGGAGTCATCTGTGCGGCCGTCCAGTGAGTCAGGGAACCAAATGGTCACAAATGGTGACAAGAAGAGCCCCCAAATGGATGAAGAAAGTACGGCCGGTCTTTGCACAGGCTGTTTTTTGGGTTGTTCAGTCTTCCTTTCCCATCTTTCCCTTTCCAGATGCCATCAAGGCTCCTGGGTACCAGAAAGCCACACCCACTGAGCAGCTGTGCACATAGCAAGTGGCAGGCAGACGCTGTGAGCGAGGCCTAATACCCGTTCCAGCCCTGCCCAGCCAGGCCTTGGCTCCCAAACACAGAGCTGCCTCCTTCCTGCCAGAATTCTACAGGTGAGGCTCCGGGCAGGTACAGAGAGCTCCCCAGAGGCTGCTCTTGGTTGGAAACATCGCTGCAGGAGCAGGAAAAGCGGGTGGCTGGCACCAGAGAGGACGGGCCTGGAGAAGTAGCCTCCCCCACAGTTACCTGGGTCTCAGATGCCAGAGAAGTGAAGTAGAGCATAGGAGAGGTCCTGTGAAGGCACCAGCCCTGGGCTTGGGGTAGGGAAGGGTTCTAAAGGAGAGGCCTCCTGTGTCTCCAAGAAGGGCTAGGGTTGGGGAGGCCATGGGCATCGCTGGCTCTCCTCTGGCAGCTCACTCTAACGGCCCAAGTTATCTTTGACTTGGAAGCCAGGGAAGGCTCATGGAATTTCAAAGGACTCCCCCCGGTCCCGTCTCTCTCCTCACTCACCCCTACCAACCCTGGGAATGAGTTCTCATTAAAACAAGACTGGTCCTACATCCCTGGGCACGGCCAGGCCAGGACACAGACATCCACGTGGGTGAGTGCGTGCCTGAGCACAGCTCCTAATTCCTCATCCCAACTGCTCCAGTACCTTCAGTCAGCCTGCAGCCAAGGTCAGGCCAAGGGGGGAGCTCCTCAGAGTCTTCCTGGGAATAGTGAGGCCCTGCTGTCTGCTCCCTGAGTGGCTGGAGCACAGGGAGTCTCCTGACTCTAGCTGACTGCCCTCCTTTTCTGCCTTCTTTCCTTACTTCCTGGATGAACTATAAGAGCCTTGAATGAACTGACCTTGGTGTTCTTGGAAGGAACAGGTGACAATATCCACCTGGCTGCCCTGAATCACCCTCCCTGGCCTGCCTGTCTGATCCCGGTCTGCTCAGCAGGAAGCAGAATCTGATGTTTGAGCCGACACCAGGTCATTTATGATGACTGGGCACTGAGGGGTTTAAAAAAAACCAATGGGATGAGGCCCCTGCCGTCCAGGAGCTCCTCTGACAGAGCAGAGGATGTGCCAGGAGGGGCTGGGCCGGCGGGCAAGAGGCCAGGGCAAGAAAGCAGCCCTCAGGCTCCCTGGAGGTTCACCAAGGCAGCCCCAATTCCCTCCCATTTCCCCTGAGAAGTGCCTATCTGTGATCCCACTTCTGTTGCCTTCAAGGCAGAGAGAAGGGCGGGCCCTGAGGACACTAGTTTTCAGGCCATGGTTCTAAAAACAGAGGGGTGCTCCCTCAGCCCCCATTCTCTCCCTGGTTTGCATGGGCCTTCTTGCAGCTGGAGCTGGCTGAAGCCAACTGCCTTCCTCCCCTTTGGGGAGCCCAGTTAGACTCAGTGGAGCCTGGCTGCCTCATTCAGCTTGGCTCTGGGCGGGTTCCCCTTCCCCACTGTCCCACCTACCTGAATTTCTGGACCTGACTTCTGTCTTCTCTCTCGCTTGCTACCTACTTGACACTGCCTGCACTTGGCATTGCTTGGGAAAGGGCTGTGGAGTTAAACCAAATTGCACTGAGACCTCCTTAGGCAGGTTAAGCTGTTCCCACCCCTGAACTCGCCTCTAAACCTCCAGAAAGAACAACCAGCTTCTAACTGTAGGCGGAGGCCATCTGTCATCATCCTCCTCTGGTAAGAGGCTCGGGTATTGGAAGACGAACAGCCTGAACTCTGCAGTACCCCTCCCCTGAGGTGGCTGGTGACAGCTGGTTGAGGCGAGAGGGGGAATGGGCCCAGACATGTTGGCAGGTGTCCCTGTAGGCCCAGAGCTGAGAAAAAGGGAACTCAGGAGGGGACTAAGTGGGTGGTCCACCAAGGAGCAGTCACCCTACTTGGCCACACAATCTCCCTAGAGAAATGGGCCCAGGCCCTTGCCTGCCTACAACAATGAGGACAGAATCTGATCACTCCCGAAGTGCAACCAGACTCAGTGGCAGTTGGGGAATCCAGCTGCAGGTCAGCAGTACAAGTACAAAGTGGGGAGAGACCAGGACTTCACAGGCTTGGGAACTGGCCCCCTCAAGCTCACTGAGGGGTCTGCTATCCCTGCAGAATAGCCCCAGAGTCCAGATAAGGCCTTCCTCCCTGGGCTGGGAATGAGGGTGGATTCACATGAGAGTCAGAGAGGCCCCGCAGAGGCTAAGGGGCTCGGGGAGGCCACTACAAGGTCAGGGCAGGGGACTGTGATGATTAGGAGTGACACCAAGGCTAGCCAGATGAAAGCTTTCCTTCTAGGGGGACCTAAGGCCAGGAAAGGGCCTGCAGGGCCTGGTGGGGAGGGACTCAGGGTCTGGCTAGAGAAGGCTGGAAAAGCATACACAGTCTGGGCATCTGGGCGGGTGGCAGATAGCAGGCATAGTAGCTCCAGGAGCCCACACCACTGCCCGTTGGCATCCCCTGGCCTCTCTGTCCCTTGGTTGAGTTTGGGTGTCTTTCAGCTTTAGGTCATTGGCGCTTCTTTTGAAACGTTCCTACTTGTTCTTTGCTGGGTTCAGGGGAAGGGGCTGACCTGGAAGCCGGGCAAGGCCAGGACAAGAGGGGAAGGAGCTGGTGCATGGGGAGCTCACCACTCTCTCCTTGTAGACGATGTACTTCAACCACTTGAAGTCCTGCCACTTGAAGCCAGCGAGGACAAATAGAGAATCGCGTTCATATTGCTCGGGCCGCTGCATGGCGCCCTCAGGGTAGGTGATGCGCAGTGTAGTTTTGCTGCCCACGTCCTTCTCAAAGCCTTTCACTGGTGCTGAGTTCAGTCTACAGAGAGCAGGCCCAGTCAGAGCCTGCCTTGGGCTCACTGCACGGAGCCTGTGGGCTCGTGTTTGGGGAGGGACTATGACCCCAGAATTCCCCAGGTGCAGAGAACAGGGAGCCAGGTCACCTGGAGCCACCTAGCTTTCCAGAGCCCTCCAAACCTAGAGGTTCTTCTCTAGGCTTCTGCTGACCTCCAGCCCAAATGGCCGGATAGATAGACAGCTCTCAATGGACTGGGGAACGAGGGTTTGGGCCAGGACACTCAGGAACCTGAGGCACTGATTTGGGGAGCTCACCTGACCACAATGTCATAGTCATCAATTCGTGACCCCAGAGACTTGTTGGCAAGGACACCTCCGTTGCCCACGATGATGCAGCGGCGGCAGCTGAGGCTGAGCGGAGAGAGGCAGAGACCTCTAGAGAGCTGTCCACTAAGGCTCCTTCTCCCTACCCCTCTGGCCAGGTGCAGGCTGGGATGGGGGAAGACCAGTGGGCTTCTGGCAGCATTCTGAGGCCAAAGCCATACTGTTGGTAGCTGGGCCACTTGGGACTCTGACATCCCTAGTCCCAGATACTCTCCAGGACAGCGTGGCTGTGGAAGGGGCAAGGGCACCAGTTCCGGGGTGGTGAGGAAGGAGCGTCTGGTAAGATGGCATTCTAGGCTAAAGGTTCCCCAAGCGTTAGTGGAGTTCAAGAGAGAGGACAGGCCTGGAGGCTCCGGGACCCAAGGCTGGGTGGGCTTATATTCAGCTCAGAAGCCCCCATGCTCCCATTGGCCATCAGAAAGCCCTATTCATCTTGCTCCTCCCGCCTGGGGCTTCCTCCTCCAGGGTCCGTTGGCTTCAGAGCTGTCACTGCCTCCTGCATTTAAGCCCTGGCCCCCTCACCTGCCTTGACCACCCAGGCTCTCAGTCCCAGTGCTGGGCTGATTTCAGCCCAGTGTCTTCTGTCCTTACCCTCAGACCTCTGACGGCTGAGGACTGAGATATCTTGCCAAGTGCTTACAGCCCAGGGGGTGCAGGCCAGCTGGATGGCGCCCCTTATCTTATCTGCTCACCACCCCAGCATGGGTGCTATGTGTGCGCCTGTGGACATGCTGGAGAATCTGCTTGTGTCCAGCCAGGGCTGGCTCTCAACGCCTCTGCACATGTCAGGCAGCCGAGGGGCAGGGGGCTGGGTAGCAAGTGGCTCACCTGTCCAAGGCAGGGGTCAGGCGGTACTCTTTGGTGACTGACAAGATGGCTTTGATCAGATTGTCTGTGGACAGAGGAGGGAGGTTACCGTTAGAGGGTCACTGGCATGCCCGTGCAGTGTTTGCAGATGATGGGGGGGAGGCACACGCCCCTGCGCAGGGTGGAGGTAGATGTGACGGTGTGGGGAGGGAGCTCTGGGCCCAAGGCTGGGCTGGGCCACTGGCCTAGCTATAGCCCCGAGGAACGAGACGGAGGCAGGGGAACAGGCAGGCACACTCGCCTCTGCCTGGAGCCAGTCCCCAGCACCGGCATGCAGTTTCTCTCCCAGGGCTCCCCAGCCCTTCCTGGGAGGTCTCCTCTGGCTTTCGGAGGCTCTGCAGTCAGGCCCCAGGACATGGATTCCCAGGTCCAGGATGTGCCCAGAGACAGAGGCCACTAACACTAAAGAGCTCGAGTGGGCTCTGCCAACTCCCAACTCAGACCCCTTTGCCTCCCTCTCTGATACTGTCTTCCCCTCACTTCCCCCCCAACACTGCCGATCTCCAGTCTTGGTCTTGCCAGCCTGTCTCTGCCTCCTTCCATCTCCAACCCCTGAGGCCTGGTATCGGCCCACCTGCACTCCACTCAGGAGACCCTCAGCAAGGGGCCCAGGATCTCTGTCCTCAGATCCTGTGACCACTATTCAGACCTCATTCTTCTTGGCCTCTCTCTGGCTTTGGCGATGGGAACTGCTCTCTTTTCAAACTCTGGCATAATGAGAACATTATAATATAATGTATAATGATATTGGCTTTGGGGTCAAATCCTGGCTGTGCTACTTCAGAGCTCTGTGACCTCCGATTAATCACTTACTTTCTTCGTGCTTTAGTTCCCCATCTTTCAAATGAAGATGGCAATTCCTACGCTGCAGAGTCGTTAGGAAGATGAAAAGATAATGTACATAGAGATCTGGAGATAAAGTAAGTAGATCAGTGCAGCCATAGTGGAGAGCATCTTAATAACATTAAGCAAAGATGTAGATGTGCGTAGACTAAGATCGTTCAACTCTCTTCCTAGGAAGACAGCATCTGAACGCTCACACATTTGTTTAAGGAGACGAGGAGGTTTGCTGCGGACCTGTTTGTAATAGTAAATGTTAGAGGCAAACTGAATGTTTGCCAAAGGAAAACAGATTAAATGTGGTACATGGAATACTACACAGCAGTAAAAACAAAGAAGCGACCTTGGACTATGTGTACTGATACAGATAAACCTGAAAAGCAGAAGCAAAAAAATTAATTTGAAAAGTACACACACACACACAATATTATTTGTAAAATGTAAAAATATGCAAAAACAATACATTTTCAATGGATATGTAAATATGTCACAGAAATAGATACACAGGCATTGGAACAATAACCCCCAAACCAGACTAACGGTCTCCTGGAGGAGGGGAATAGAACGGGAAGGGCTACACATAGCTTTAACTGTATTTCATGTTTTATTCCTTAAGCTGGGTACACAGTACACGGTGCTCACTGTACTAGTCTTCATTCTTTTTTATATGCCTGAAGTATTCCATGTAAAGAAAGAATGCCTCCCAACTTAAAAATAACAGCCCCATCATTTTTTTTAAAAGACAGGGTGGACAACACTATCAGATGCAGCCAAGAGGTCAAGTTGGGGACTGAAACAGACCCTTTGGATTTCACGGGGGCACTGAGCAGTGTCACTGGGATGGTGGAAGGAAGAGAGTGCTCAGGACTAAATGGTGACAAAGAGGAGGCAGCAGGCACAGTGAATCTTCCCAGGAGCTGAAGGAGAATGGGTAAGGAAGAGATCTTTAAGGAGGGCTCTATACTCAGTGCTTTCAGGCATCTCTTCTGCAGGGCTTCAGGGAAGGGCACAGACCGCCCCCTTTACCCACCTCCCGTTTCACCTCTAAGAAAAAGCATATTGCTACTCATTGGCCAAAGTCAAGGCTATGGCTTGGGTGTTTGTTTTCTAGGAGGGGACGTTAGGAGAAAGGGCATAAACCAGCAGGTGCTCTCTTATCGCTAGCCAATGGGCTGGGTACCAGCCTTTCCAGGTCTTTGTAGCTTAGTAGAATCAGAGTCTGGAGCAAGGATTTAGAAGAATAGGCTGCTTAGCTCCCTGCGCCCAGTAAAAAGGAGTTCTTCACATGGTTCAGCCCTACCCATTGGATTTGTCTTTGGGGATCTGAGGTCAAAAGTCCCGTTCCAAAGAGTCCTTTTGCTGGTCCCTGTTTTTTCAGGGAGGGATGGACTGACTGAGTGGAGGATTCATGTATTTTTGAGTCCCCTGGCCAAATGATATCACGCCTTCAACAGTGATCTTACTTAATTCTGACCACAACCTAATACAATGGTAGTATTTTTCTCCATCTAACTGATGAAGAAACTAAAGCACAGATAGGTTAAGTAACCTGTCCAAGGTCACAGCTAGTAAAGAAGTAGTACCAATCTGATCCTTGAATGTCTGACCCTAAAAGCCCAAACTCTACAATGCCATGAAACAGTGCAGGCACTTGACAAGGCAACAGAACTGTTAAACTGTCAGGGGCGGGAAAGTCTTAAGTCAGGAGGGAGCTGCATGAGCAAGGTCCCTAAGGCAATGGAAGGGGACAGTTCTGAGGGCACAGGGGACAGGTAAGCCTTGGGCAGGGTAAGAAAGGACTGGAGGAGAGACCAGGGTAGTAAGGAGGGGATGCTGGAGGAGGCTGGGGTCTTTGTCGGGGATGGCCTCTGTCTTCTCAGGGATGTCCCCTTGTTATCTGTCCTCCAGCACGGATGCCCCTGGCATCCTGTCTTGTGATCTCAGTGTGCTCTTCCCTTGTCAGAGCCCTTACTGCCCCGCACTCTAAGTATCTGGGTCTCCACTAGACTTGAGCTTTTTTAAGGAGCAGGACTGTACTGTCCACTCCACTGCTGTATGCCTGACCCTGGCCAAGTGGTGGGCTCTGAGTAAACAAACAGTCCACTGAAGTCAGAAGAAAGAAAGGGAGGGGAAGGGGGAGGGAGAGGAGTGGATCCCCAGCATGGGGACTTCTGAGGGTACAGTCCCGTCCTGACTGCAGGGAGACAGGCTGAGGGCTCCCATGTTAATAGAGAGTGGGCCAGGGCTCCCAACCTACCTTGACCTTTGATCCCAAAAGGCGGCACAAATTCCCGAATCCTAGCCCACTTGCGGAAAGAGTCATCCAGGAACATGGGTGCTGGCTTGGAGAACCTGGAACACAACAGGGCTGTTGAGGATCCCCAAAGGCAACAAGCGGGAGTACAGGTTGGCTCTTCAGCACATCTGTCAGGGCAGTGGATCTGCCAGAAGCACCTTCCGGCTCCAGCACCCTCCCTGCCCCTAGTCAGGGGGGAGCTGCTCTGCGGCATCTGACACAGCTTATCTACTGGAGCCTGAGTTTGAAGGGGCAGGTCTGGCCAGTCCCCACACGGCCAGCTACAGGGGTGGAGAGGCAAGATCGCTCGGCCTGGATGGAGGTGCAGCACGGCAATCTCTCTGGCAGGCGACCCAGGCACACACCTACACTGTCCCTGCAGTCTGGGAACATGGAGATGACACACTGCCCAGGTGAGCAGAAAGAGACCCAAAGACAGCTAGTGCCTGGAGAATTCTGGGAGGTGGACCACCCAGGGTGAGGAGGAAGAATTCACGATGAGAGGGAGAACAGCCACAGGAGGCAGACGTTTGGTAGAGAAGAGAAAAACTGGAGCATCCTGTGGCCGGGAGGCAGGGCTGAAGGGAGGCCTCCCACAGGTAGGAGCCTGGCAGAGACAAGGATGGAGGGAACGTGAAACTCCTCAGGAGGTGGGGGAGGGGCACATGCAGAAGAGGAGGGGGTAATTTTGGCCTGGAGGAAAGATGGGAGGGAAAGGGGAGAGAAGGAAGGGAGGGATGATGCTGAGTTGAGAAGGGAAAAGAAAGTTTTACTTGCCAGGGTGCTGGCTGTGGGTGGTGGGGACAGTCAGGAGGGATTGAAATGGCAATGAGGGGAGAACGACGGGAAATCCCTGAGAAGACAGAGGCCATCCCCGACAAAGACCCCATCTTCAGGGATGCATGGAACCTAGCACCGGATTTTGAGACCTTTCTCGGGGTACCTGGTGGCCCAGAACACCGCCAGCACCTGATCATCTACTGTGTGTTGATTCTTGAAGCGGGGCCTGCTTGGGGCCTTGCTGGCCAAGAATGAAGGTGTGGAGGAGGCCTAGGCCTTGGCTCCATCCCTGTGTTTCTAACTCAACCTGATCAGCCCCTGAAAACCTGAAGGCTGGAGGAGAGGCCCTATAAGCCCAGGAGCTAGAACTTAGCCCTCTGAATATACTCCAACTCAAGCAAACCTTTCTCACTTCCATCCTCACTAACCATCATGATCACCCTACCCAGGAGGAATAATACCAATAATCACTTGGAGGCCTAATATTATTAGAGATTTTGAAATGAACTTGAAAGAGGCAGAAAACTTGCCATCCTGCAAACCTCCCCCGCCGCCCCGCCCCATTACTCATGGCTAGGAAGAAGTCATCAACACCTGATAGCACAGAAAGGCCATTCCCTGCAGAGCAGCTTTCCTTTGGACTTCTGAGTTAGCATGCTTTCTTCTGTGTACAGGGGGCATGCGTGTTTCTCATACCTGGCAGATCAAATCGAAGTACATTAATATATTTGATGTTCTCCCAGAGGCACTGAGGGTCCTGGCCACAGCCTATGTGTAACAGCAAAGGAAACAAGGTCCCTGGATAAGCCTGCACCAAGAACCTCTCCTCCTGCGTCGGGACTGAGCTTATAAAATGTTTGCAAAGTTTCTCAGTCAGGCTTGGACAGGATTTTGTCTGCTTCCCAACAGGTACTGGCTGTCATATGCTAATAAAATCTCCTAAGATCTTGCCAAACGTTCTCAACATATTTTTTTTTCCTTTTCCTCTCCTTTTCCCTCTGTTATTCAGCTGATTAGAAAGTTCATTATGTTAATTTTTACTTTTTAAAAAAAGCCTTATTTATGGTGTAGCTTGTAATAAGTTAATTTTGGGGAAAAAATACTGATGGGTGGACACACAAACACAAATAAATAAAAAATACCCATAATCCTAAAACACAAAGGCAATTAACCTTTTGGTATGTATCTGTACTAAGCTCTGTAGATTCTTTTTCCACTTTATAATAATGAAAACATCACTACGCAAATGGATGCAACTTCTCTCAATACACAAAGACAGGATCAAACAACAAAAACAGTAAGCTGCTGGTAATGTGACCCAAGTTGACTCCCAACAATCAAATGTACATGGATACACGAGTGAACATTTGACCCAAAAAAATACCAGTTCCAATATTAGTGTTACAGCCTTGAGTGTCTGTGTTCCCTCAAATTCGTATGTTGAGATTTCATCCCCACTGTGATGGTGTGCGGTCGTGGGGGCCTTTGGGAGGTAATCAGGTCATGAGAGTAGATAGAGCCTTCATGAGTGAGACTGGTGCCCTTCTAAAAAGAGGCCAGAGGGGCGCCTGGGTGGCTCAGTTGGTTAAGCATCTGCCTTGGGCTCAGGTCATGATCCCAGGGTCCTGGGATCGAGCCCCACATCAGGCTCCTTGCTCAGCAGGAAGCCTGCTTCTCCCTCTCATACTCTCCCTGCTTGTGTTCCCTCTCTCACTGTCTCTCTCTGCCAAATAAATAAATAAAATCTTTAAAAAATAAATTAAAATAAAAAATAAAAAGAGGCCAGAGAGCTAACTAGCTCTCTTTCCACCATATACGGATACAAGGAGAAGCCGGCCATCTGAACCTGAAGATGACTCTCACCAGAACCCGACCATGATGGTGTTGTGATCTCAGACTTCAGCCTCCAGAACTGTAAGAAACACATTTCTGTTATTGAGAAGCCACCCAGCTTATGGTAGTCTGTTAAAGCAGCTAGAGCTGATGAAGACCGTAAGTAATGAACAAAAATAATTCATGGGAAAGATCCTGGCAAAAAGCACGACATGGGTCTGATAAGCATTTCTTAAAACTCTTTGCCGCTAGTGTAGAACCTATTTATTTCTTATTTTTATTATCTGTTTTTCCTCGTTCTTTTATTGGGTCCTCATGTTTTAGCTGCTCATTTTGCAGCCTCTCTTTATTTCTTGACGGATGGAGCCAGCCTCCTCAAACATTTCTTTCTCCTAGTTGGTTGCACCTTTGTGCAAAGGGTACTCTTTTTTCCCGCCTGGGGATATATTTTTAAAACTTTTTATTATGGGAGATTTCAAACACGCACAAAAGTTGAAAAACAAAACAGTGAAAATTCATGGACTTGTTACCCAGATCCAGTAATTATCAGTCATGGTCAATTTTGTTTCTCTTAGCTCCTCCCACTCTCTATATTATTTTGGGAACTCCCAGAAATCATGCCATTTTATCCATAAAATACTTTAGCATTAATTTCTATAAGGTAAGGCCACCTTAAAAACCATAACCACACCTAAACAACTCTTCTCAAAGCCATTATCACATCTAAAACACTAGCTATAATTTCTTAATAGTAACAGTCAATTTCAGATTTCTCCTACTATCTCATTAATGTTTGCTGTTGTTGCTTACTTTAATAGTTGGTTATTTAGATCAGAATGAAAGCATGGTCCACACATTGAATTGGGCTGGTCTCTAGTCTCTTTTAAATCCATAGGTTTCTTCCTCTCTCTTCTTCTCCCTTTGGCCTTTTCATCTTGGCTCCTGAATCCTTCTGACATACCCCAGTAATCTTAGAAAACAACCTTGCTGTCTAGTATTTAAAGATGTCCCACGTTCATCCTGTACATTTCTTGCCTCCACCTGGAGTCGGTCATCTTCCAAGGAGCCCTGGTTCCTTTTCATTGGAAATGGTATTCAGAGACCACCATCTTGATGGCCAGGTTGCTCATGTTGCTAGGGTTAGTCATTTTCCCCAGGCCTTTTCAGGGGGACAAAGCAGGAAATACTTTTTTAAAGAGAAAATACATCATGCATTTATACTAGTATTCCCAATCCAAATTCAGGATGACAAGATTTGTACTTTCTTTCTCTTGTTTCATAGCTTCACTAAGATATAATTCACATACCATAAAAGTCCTCTATGGAAGCTTCCTTTATTTTATATTTGTATTTCTTTTCAATTAAGTAGACATTCTTGTTTATAGTGATATTAACACAATTGCTTATTTGCTTTATCTTAATACATACACACATACAGGTACATGTAAAAAATACAATAGTTTCAGAATAACATTACTAACACTATCATTACTAAAACCAATTTAAAATTTCTTTATAGTTCTTTCTGCCTTCGGGTATACCATACTAGAGAAGTACAGACAAATGATTTTGCTTCTGGCACTTGAAATAATTCTGCGGAGTTTAATTCATCAATGATACCTAGAGTTAAGTTCATTTGTTTCATGTTGCTTTTGCTTTTTAGGGGTTGCTTATACTTCATTTTAATTTAATTTCGCTTTATGATGATATAAAACTTTACACAATGCCAAAACTAAACTCACAAAACAAGACATATTCAGAGGAGTCTAACACTTATCTCTCTGCCTGACTCCTGTTGCTTATATTCCCATATAGTATTTTTATTATTAAATTCATTTTATTTTATTCATACTAGTATTATTCCTATAATGAATTCATTTTTATTTTATCCTTTTGTTATTTTTGATGTGAGCAAATACATAATACATACGTGTGTGTACAGTGTTTCTTTATTCAATAAAGAGATAGTATATTAAATACACTGTTTTGCCTACTAAGTTTTGTTTTGTTTTGTTTTTTTCCACCTACAATATATTGTGGTGATCACTCCATAGTAGTATATAGAATTATATACTTGATAGTATTATTCAGTCAGTCCCCTGGGCTGTTGCAGTCTTTTGTAAAGTAGCTTCTACCAACAGCAGTTACAATGAATAACTTCACGTATATGTCTTTTCTCTTCGCCAGTATATCTTTGGAATGGATTCCTTGAAGTGGATTGGTTGGATCAAAGGGAAAATGCCTATAAGTAATTTTGCTCCAAATTGCCAAATTACCCTCCATGGGGATTGTGCCATCGTAGTACCCACCAGTGATGTTTGAGAACATGCTGTCAAACATTTCAGTTCTGCCAGTCTGATAGGAGAGAGACAGTATCTGTGTTGTTTTATTATAAGTGAAATTGCACATTGTTATATATATATAAAGGGGTCATTTGCACTTC